GCTTCAAAATCTAAATATCATCTTTAAATTCACATTTAAATATGATTGTATAGACTGTTTGATATATAGCAAGTAGTTAAGGCAGCCATTGATATAAGTTGTTGAAGTCTGAGATTAAATTATCCCATTGTCGGAGTAGATATGATATTGTTTGTTATTATTATTTTAAAGATGTAATGTTAAGTAATAAAAATCGAATATAAATTGTTTAAATATTTTTATTAAACTTTATTTCAAAAAATAAATTATTTCCATATTTCGACAAAATTGATTTTTAGTTGATTTGAAAAATATATTAGTTGATTTTAGCTGACTTTTGAAAATATATTAGTTGATTTAGTAGACAGTCAAATTATTTAAATGTTATAACAACACTATAAGAAACAATAGAGTTATGAGAAGAAAAAAACTATTATTGCCAGAGACTAAAATTTAAAACTTGAAGGTTTAAAATTAATTTTAGATGTATGCTAAGCAACGTCTATTTGACAAACATGATAAGTTAAAAATACATTTTAAACCTTTTAAAACATGTTTAAACATTTCTGTCATGTTATCATGCTAAAGAGAAAATTGTTCATGCATTTTCTATTATCCTACTCAATATAAGAATCCAGAGGCGTAGTTGTTTATAAGAATTCAGAAACAGTTGTTAATAAGCATTGTTGTTAGATTCAACTTATTTTAACAGGCTTATTAAAAAGTTACAGGTTACAGAGACAGGTTTATTAAAAAATAGTTACTACAGTTCTAACACAAGTATTAGTAATCTTAAAAAATGTAGCAAATTTTCTTAAGAAATGATTTTAAATAATATTAAAGAAAAGAAAAAAAAATTGATAGGTTTACTTTGTTACAAGATGTTTTTAATCAAAAGAGTTTAAATTTATAATTAAGTTAAAATAGGTTGTTAATTGGTTTTAAAAGATAAACCAAAGAGCATTACATTTAGAGGAGTGTATTGTGCAATGGTTGCAGCTCGTTTAACTAATGTATTTACAAAGGAAATGTTTAAAGGTACTGCAGACTGGCTAGCGAGGTAATTTTTTCATGTAATTATTTAAAATTTTGCTATTATTAAAAATTTTCAAAAGCTTTTTAAATCTTTTTTTTTTTTTAAGTTGTCAGACATATGAAGGAGGATTTGGAGGTCTTCCTGGTGAGTTTATTTTTGTTTTGTTTAATTTTTAATATTTTTGAAAAGGTACACTGAATGAATAATTTGAAAGATTTTATTTATATTAAGATAATAAAATCAGTTTTTGTTTGTTAATTTCAATTCACCTCCCCAAGGCCATAAAAGCCATTACAGGCAAGGAGATTGCTTTTTTAGTTGTGGTTAAAACCCTTTCTCAACTCTTTAACTCCGAAACACGAACCTTGACAAACTAAGCTGCTGTTCAAAGAAACAAGTTGAGCGCGGTACTACTAAGGATGTGATGGGGATTGAATTCTGAACTTGTTTATGAGACAAGTGCTCTACCACTGCCACAATAGTTTTGTTTACATTAATTAGTAAATGAAGTTGATTTTATACTTTTTAAAAAAGTTTCATTCGCTGTGCACTTAGTAAGGAAATTGTGTCAAAAAACTAGAACCATCATCTTTTTTTTTTTTCTACTTAAATTTTTTCGTAATTGATTAGGAAAACTCATTTAAAATGTCAATTTAAATGAAACTATATATAAAAATTGAAAGATGCAATTTCGAAAAGAGTGATTATATAACTTTTTTAACAGATTTTTTATTAACAAATTTTTTTTTAGTTTTATTAACCATGTCAGATTTTTTTTTAAATTCGAAATGCAAAAAATAGAAGTATTTATGTGTTAATATCTATATGTTGTTAAATCAATATTAAATTTCTTGATAATGGTTAATGAATGTTATTCAAACATCACTAATCATCTTAATTGTCACAGAATGCAGTAGTGGTATAGTGGTAGAGCGCTCGCTTCATAATTGAGTGGTTCCGAGTTCGATCTCCACCACGTCCCTGGTAGTACCGCGCTCAACTCGTTTCTGCGCGCAGCGGCCTTGTTCGTCAAGGTTCGTGTTTCGGAGTTATAGAGTTGAGAGAGGGTTATAGCCACAAAATAAGTAGCCTCCTCGTCTGTAGTGGCTTTCTCGGCTTTAAGAAGGTGAATTAAAATAAATAAAAAATAAACAAAAAAGAATAGCAATTAATTGATTATTGGTTGATTAGAAGAAGTCTAAATTTGTTTTTGTATAAATTAATTTTTAAAATTAAAATTGGGTCTAAATAAAAAACGACTTGATAACTATATGTCTAAAGTCATAACTTATAGGGAACATAAGGGTTCCTTTCAACAATGTTTTTGTTGCTTTATCAAGCGCTTTACTTTTCATTATGGGAAAGTAATTTTATCAATTTTAAAAAATAATAATAACAACTATAGCTCTTAAGTTAAATATTTGTTTTTTGTGTTTAACGTTGAAATCAATAGTTCTACAATTAACCATATATATATAATAAACCATATATATATTCTGAAATGTACTCTGTACCTATGATGTGTGTTGCATCACTTTTGATCACTTTAATGCTGATAATGCCTTTAAAATTTCTTGTTTCTGCTGGTCACTATTTTATTATCATAAGTTTTAAAATCATGCTACTTATCAGTTGTAAATCTTCAAATAATAATTGTTATAAAGCTGGAGAAATGATGTAGAAACATGCTGTTGAGTGGTGTGATCATAAGCTCTAACTTAGTGTAAAATCAGCTATTCACAAATTTATCCACATGATTTGGCACTAGTACCACTGACGCTACTTGCCCTAAAGTTTAAAAAAAAAAATTTTTTTTTTCTTACTCAAACAGTTAACCTGGTAACTCATTTTCCAAACAACACTAATCACTTTTAATCCTTCACTCAAACTTTTTTCTTGTCTCTAACCTTAGCTAATGCTCAGGTTTTCTTTGTTCTTCTTTAGATGAATTAGATCATCTTATGATCTCACTAAAACATTTATCTTCTTCTACAATCAGATTCACCACGTTGCACTTCTTATTCTCGATTCTGATTGGATTCTTTTTATGATTTCCTTTGTAATGATTCTTGGGCTGATGCCTCTAGTCTCTCTGTTAAAAATTTTGCCTCCTTTATTGTAAGGTTGGTTTTTTTTTAAAAAATATTATTATGGGTTCAGGTTAACTAAGCAATCATCTGTTGTTCTATGAATCAAATTTAAATCTTGTGTGATTTGTCATTCAGCAAAGTTGCAATTTTTTACTGTAACTGTTCTTTCATGTTCATAAATCCTTAATCTAGTTTTTTTCTTCTAACATCAGGGCTTTCATCTTTTCAGTTTTCCATCTTCTGACATTAGTACTTTCATCTTTTCAGTTTGCTCTTCTTACTTTATAAGGTATCCCAAATTAAATAGTGGTTGATTACAGTCTTTTTTTTGTTCATTTTTTAATTAATTTTTTTTTAAAAACATAACAGAATAAGAATAATGATATTAATTTCAATTTATACATTTAATGGTATTGTTTTAGGGTTGGAGGCACATGGTGGATATACTTTTTGTGGATATGCTTCACTAGCACTGCTTGGGCAGGAACAAAAAGCTCGTACTAAGCAATTGCTTGTTAGTAAAACAATTTTTAATATATTATTTTAAAAACTGACAAGAAACTGCTTTTAGCTAAACTAGGAATGCCTATGATGTTTGACCTTCACAACACTTGTGAGAATAAAAGTATAATTATTCCAAATTACAAAAGTTAATGACTAAGTTAATGACAAAAAGTTAATGACTAAGAACAGAGTTGTCATTTAGTAATGGTTTTTAAGTTTAACATCGTTTTAAGTTTAACATCGTTTTAGGATGAAATTTAAATCTTTTTATAAACTTTGGTCTAGTTTATTATTATGAAAGTTTTTAAAAATGTTTTTTTGGCAGGTTTAATTACTTTTTTATTACTGTTTTGCATGATACTTTACAGTCTAATACAGTATATGATCATATCCATGAATTAAATTATTTATCATGTAATTATTATTCTATATGTTTATATTATTATTGTTCTATTATTTATTATATATATTAATAATTTATTATTATTATAAATACTTTTATTCTTTGCAGTTTTCTCAACAAATATAGATTTAAGTTAAGTTAGTGTATTCTGAAATTAGAAAATGCTCAATGTTCCTAAAGTGCAGAGCAATAATAAATTAGTTAAGTCTAAATATACAGTCTGTTTTCCTCTTAGTGTTTTTACTAATTTATATATATATATATATATATATATATATATATATATATATATATATATATATATATATATATATATATATATATATATATATATATATATATATAGAGAGAGAGAGAGAGAGAGAGAGAGAGTAGTTCAAATTTATGAATTACTCTCTCTCTCTCTTTGTTATGAACGTATAATATTTACTTTCCCCTACCCCTTTGATGTAAGTGGTTTTAAAAATTGACTTAACTTACATACTTCTTGTCACATGTTTGGTAAAAGTAAGTTTTTTTATGTTAAATATATTTCATCTTTGTGAAAATTAATTTTTGTATAATACTTAGAAATGGGTTGCATTTCGTCAAATGAAGTTAGAGGGGGGATTTCAGGTGAACTCTATGTTTTTATGTTTTGTTTTATATTTTTTGTATAGTTTATTGTTTAAATTCAATATTAAATCAATGTTTACATCTAGTTATTATTGTTTGTATCCAGGGTCGCACTAATAAATTGGTTGATGGCTGCTACTCTTTTTGGCAAGGAGGAATATTTCCTGTTATTCATAGCATACTTCAAATGTACAGTGATGAGAATCTTAGTAATACTAACTGGATGTTTGATCAAAGTGATTATATTTTTAAGTTTTAAAATATTAGTTTTAAATTTAATCTATTTTAATTTTACTGTACTATTATAATTTTAATATCATTCTAATTTCAATGGCTAACCTTTAGCTGAACCCATTTAAATGTTTTTTATGTTTTGTTTTGTTTTTTTGTTTTGTTTTTGTGAGTGTTTTCCCTTAAAAGATACACGGGGTATAAACAACAAAAAAAGATACACAGGGTATAAAGTTAATAAAATTACTGGACTACTTAATTGCAACTATTTAGAAACTATTTAATAAAAAAATAAATCAATTTAAAAAAATATATTTTATTTATATTATTTTAATATTTATATAATAATTTAATAATATTTATCTCACTTGATTTTTAGGCAGTTTAAACTAGTTGGAATTTTTATAAATTGAAATTAAAATACCACTTCTTTTTTTTATAAAAAAATTTTCACTTTCATTATTAATTTCTTACCTTAGGTTTGATAAAAGGTAAAAAAAAAAACTATGACAAACAGAAGGATCATTAATGGTTTACATGATTCACAATGTGGTTATATTGCTTTAAAAAAATGATTTTTTAGCATTTTAAATTTAAAGAAAATGATTGAAAAAAAAAACATTTCAAGATACAATAACAACTTTTAAAAAATGATTTTATGCTAGAAAATATTTTGATTCGTTTGCAGCTTGCACCTTAATGTGTTCTAATTTTATTTATGATATTTTAATATATATATATATATATATATATATATATATATATATATATATATATATATATATATATATATATATATATATATATATATATATATATATATATATATATATATATATATATAATAATTTAATAATACTTATCTCACTTGATTTGTAATCAGTTTAAACAAGTTGGAATATTTTTAAATTTAATTTAAAATACCACATTTTTTTTAGATTTTTTTTTTTATTAATCCACAGTATATTGCTCTTCTTCATCTTAAGACTTTTCAATGTTATTTCTGATCAAATTGATACTGATGGTGACTTTAATGCTCATCACACAGAATGGCTTGGGTACTAGTGTCAGTGACTCTACATAGGCCTACAACTTTTGGCTTTCTCAATCTTTAACACAAATAGACAACTTTCCAACTCACTTTCCAGAAATTCCAAATCATACACCTTTTTACTTGAATTATGTCTTGTTTCTGTTAGTCAGCGCTCAGTTTCTCAACAATCACCCTTAGATGCTTCTGATCACGGTTTAATCTCTCTAAAACTATTATCTCATTCTTCTTCATCATCAGAATTGTCCTATCATTGTACCTCTCACAACTACCTTAAAGCTGACTGGGACTCTTTCTATGGTTTTCATTGATGTGACCTTTGGGTAGAAATCTTTCATCTTCCTGCTCACAAATGTGCTTCTTACATAAATTCTTCGATTCAGGCTGGCATGGAATCCTTTATTCACTCTTGACAATTCCAAGTCAAGCCTCACTCTTCTCCATTGTTTTCCTCTCATTGTGCTGCTGCAATTTCCAATTGGTACCATTGCTTTCATATCTATTAGCAAAAGATTCTCCAGAAAACAGATATCTATTTACTATTGCTAGAAACCATTGTAAAATGGTTTTGTCTAACGCCAAATTATGCTATTCTCAGATCACGAAATCTCGTATTTCATCTCAAAAATTAGGCTTTAATGACTTCTAGGGAATCTTTACAGTATCTATAATAAGGGCAAATCTTTTATTCCACCTTTCATATTATGGTTCAGATTTTTTTTTCCTTACTAAAGACAAAATTTTTCATTAGTTATATCTCTTGATTCCACTAGTCGCGTTTTACCTAATATAGCCAACATACAGGTTAATCCGTTTCCTGATGTTCATATTATTTCAGCTTCTATATCTTGAGTGATTTCCTGCTTAGACTCTTTTACAGTTTGTGGTCCGGGTAACATACCTTTTATAGTCTTGCAGAAGTGTTCTCTGGAGCTTTTGCCTGTACTTTCAAAACTATTCAACAAAATGCTTAGCAGAGTTTTGTTTTCCAGCCTGCTGGAAAGCGGCATCTGTTATCACTATTTTCAAAAATTCTGGAGAGCGATCTGACTCGTCTAACTACAGTCCCATTAGTCTTCTTACTATCATAAGCAAGGTCTTTGTGTTTTAATTAATAAATACTTAATCTCTCATCTTAAATCTAATAACATACTTTCTGATCATCAGTATGGACTTGGATCTTCTCGTTCTACTGCTGATTTGACAACGGTAATAACTGATAGGTTTTATCATGTATTAGATAGACAGGAGAGGCTAAGGCTATCGCTCACAAATTTTCTAAAGCTTTTGATAAAGTTTGGCATGCTGGTCTTCTACATAAACTTACTTCTTATGGTGTATCAGGTAACATCTTTAAGAATATTGAATCCTTTCTTACCAATCCTAGTATAAAAGTTGTCCTTGATAAACAGGACTCTTCATTTCATGTGACTTCAAGTGATCCTCAAGGTTCAATCCCTGACCATACACTTTTTTTAATTTACTTTAACATTCTCCAAGAAATTCTCACATTTAAGGTGGTATCGTTTGCTGTTGATGCTACCATTTATTCTTGTCTTGATAAGAAGCCAATACTCTATGATTGCTTGGAGGGGGCATTTGAGCTTGAAAAGGATCTCACTTCTAGTACGCATTGGACTCTCAGTGGCTAGTAAACTTTAACTCAGATAAAACTCAACTTTTTTTAGCTAATTGATATGACAAAATTCTAAATCTTCCTATATTTATGAATAGTTATGTACTCTATGAGTCATCTATCCTTCATTTTCTAGGAATATCTCTAATTTCCGATCTTTCTTGGAAACCATATATCAAATCGATTTCAAAATTACCATCTGCTAAGGTAGCATCTCTTTGTTGTGCTTGCCACTTTTTTACACCAGGATTCCATTTATCCTCATAAATCTCATTGTGAACATAGTTGGCCTGCTTTTGCAGCCAATCTCCAAAATTATCACATTATCCCAATTTTGCTTCTCTTTCTCTTTTCTATAAATACTATAATGGGCATTGCTCTAAAGAGCTAGTGCCTCTTGTGTCATCTATTAAAATCTATTCTCATATTACTTGTCATTCAATGAAGTCTCATTCTTATTTTTCTAGTTTTTGTTCCTCGAACATCAGTTCATTATAATTCACTTCCTTCGACTTGTTTTCATGATTCATTTAATTTGCAATCTTTCAAATCATCTGTTTATTGTTATCTTGCACTATGAACTTCATCTTTTCTCTTCCAGTAACTTTCAACTCTAATAGTGGTTGCTTGTAGCTTTGTTGGAAAGATGTTGAAAAAAAAATTTTCTTAATTAAAAAAAAACATTTTTTCTTAATTAAAAAAAAACATTGAAATAAGTGGTAAAACAATATTTAATTTTTACTGAACAAAATTATGAAATTTATTTAGTTTACTAATATAAATGAAATCCTTCTTTGTAAATTATGAAGTTTTTGTCATATATTATGAAGTTTTTCAGATTTGAAGAAAAAATTTAAAAACATTAAAGTAAAATTGTTAGAGATACTCGTATTCATTGCAAGACATTTATCAATTAAACAGCATTTTAAAATTAAAAAAATGACAGGCTGCTTATAGCACATAAAAAAATGCTAAAACAATTTTTTCAACGTAAAAATAATTTCTTCAATTTATATCAATTGTGTGTAATTGTTAAATGTTTAAAGTTTTAGGCAAAAAACTTTTAATTTACTGCTAAAATGTTTTTATATTTTTGAATTTGTTTTTGCTTTGATATTTTATTTATAAACTGATCGGTTTATATTCAAGTGTATATGGTATATATAAATGTTATTTATTTAGAAAATTTTAGATGAATATTTTACAAAACTTATTTTATTTAAGTTACATAATTATTTTTATAAAATAAAATATTAACTATATACTATCTATGTATTGAAGTTATTTAAGTTAATTATTTTACAAAATAAAATATTAACTATATATACTATCTCATGTAAGCAATAAAAGCATAATTATTAAATTTTATTTTCCTTTTTCAAAATCAATTGTAAAATATATTTACATTCAGATCCAGAACGATAAGCTGCAAAAATTGTGTAAATTAAATTTTTAAATATTTACAACAATGTAACATTAAATTTGTTGTTCTTTGTTCTTGTAATTTTTACTATTAAATCTTGTACTTAAATTTTAAAAGTTATTAAAAACTTTCAAACTTTAAAAGGTGCGTTAGAAGAGTACATATTGGTAAACTGTCAATGGCCTCAAGGTGGTTTGATTGATAAACCTGGAAAGTAAGTTGTGTTAAATATTTTTCCAATTTTATAATCAATTAATGTAAACTTTTTTTAAATCATTTTTTAAAAACAATTTTTATATTTATACTCTTTGTGGTGCAGTGAGTTCTTACAAGCAATATGCGGTATAATATATTACAAACAATATGCGGTAGTTGTGTAGTTCTAGAGTGCTTGCCTCATAAACTAGAAGATAGCTCAACTTGTTTTTTTGCGAAACAACCTTGTTCTTCAAGGTTTTTGTTTTGAAATTATAGAGCTTAGAGAAGTTTTTAATCACAATTAAAGTACAGTTGATTAAAAAAGACAATAAATTTTTCGACATTCTTAATATTTTTATAACCTAGTGTATAATAATAATTATATATTACGTTTTAACATTATGATTACTATATGACACAAAAGATATTTTGAAGTAGTTTGTAACTTCTTTCCAATGTTATAATAATATTTAATTATTTAAAAATAAAAATCGTACATTATTTAAAATGTTTTTTATAGATCGCGTGATTTCTACCATACTTGCTATTGTTTAAGTGGACTCTCAGTAGCTGAACACTTTATAGGAGACGAAGTTACAAATACACATATTGAAGGAAGTCAAACAAATTTGCTAGTTAGTTTTTTTAGTTGACTTTTTGAAACATTTTTGTTGCATTTTTTATAACAATAATAATTGGTTACTTGTTTCTGTCTTTTTGCAATAAATTGAAAAAAAGTCAAAATAATTTAATATTTGATGATATATTTATATATCATTAAATATTAAAACATATTTTTTTGTATTAATCAAGTTAGAGGTGCTCAATCAAAATTAATATAATACTGAGTCACATATAAAACTAAAATTATTTAAATTGACTTATTACATTGTTTTGTATATTACTCTCTGATGCTAAATACAATGGGTGCTTTAGTACAGATCTAATAAACAGGGGGTCTTGGTAAAAGGGTGGGTAGAAATATTTTACAGAACACGCATAAAACAATTTAATTCTAGTGTGGCTTGCATTCAAATAATCGATGCTTTTTTTAACTGTTGTTTTATTCTAATTTTGAAAAGATTTAAAATGCTTATATAAGTTTTAAATTTAAGGGGTGTGGAATAAAGCAAAAGTTAGTTTTCAACATATCAAGATTTAGGAGATTTTCTCATATATTGAAAGTTTTTCATATATTGATATTTATCATAGATATCATATATTGAGGATTTGGAGATATATCATAGTTAAACAATTTCGATCAATTTCGATCGATAGTTAAACAATTTTCAAAGATCGAACTAAAAGTTTTTATTCTTTTGATCGACTGAACATTTTCTTATTTTTAAGGGCGATTGTTTTTGAATTACTTTGATTTTTGAGCAGATAATTTAAGCACTCAACGTTGGTTTGTCTTCAACAAATCAAACAAGTTGATTGGTTATCAACCAAACTGTTGCAACAGTTTTTCTATCATTGAGGATTTATTTCTGATCTCAATCTTATTCTCTTTTTACTTGCATTTTAGTGCAATGCATGATTGCATTTCTATTAGCTTCAGTTTTTAACTTGAAAACACTGGTTCTACTTTTACATTATATTGGAATATTTAGTACATTTACTTTTGCAGTTATGAAAATCTAGTTGGAAATTCTTCAAGTAGTTATGTGATAGTAATGAGAAATGTTATTTAATATAGTATAAATAATGTATAATATTATAAAATGGTACTATTTGTGACAGTAGAAAGGTTGAACAGGTTTTTTTGGTCACCTTACTAACTAATTGATAATATTAAATGAATCCAACTGTTTGACTATGATTTTTATTAAGATAAAGTTTTGATACAAAGGAATTAATATCTTGATAACATTTGGGGTTAGCTTATTTTCACTCAGTATCTTATGATTTAGTTTATTTAGTTCCATCGTTGTATCTGTTAAAAAATATAAATTTAGAAGCCATCAAACATTGAAGGAGCCCTATCTATTGACACGCCTAAAAGTTTTAATCTAAAAGTAAATATCTGCTTTATTTAAGAAGATTTCTCAGCAGCAGTTATTAACAAAGTCAAAAAAATTATTTTATACTCGTTACAATTGAAAAACGCCTAAACATTTTAAAGTCTAAAGTCGCATCTTGTGTTAACTGGGTATCAGGGCCGACGGTGCCGTTTTTTGGCGTTAGAAATAGCTAACCTCCAGACATAGTGCAAACTTCAAACATTAATATGTTTATACTTATATCAAATAAGGGTGCTTTGCAAAAAATTGCGATGATTGGAGCCTGGGAACAAAAAAGCCACAAAATTTGTGCTCCTCAGTCCCAAACGTGAGAGCAACCAGTTGATAAAATTTTTTTGTACTATTCTTAACTAGACTTTTATTATATTCATCGATAAATTTTAAGTTTCATAGAATAATCTCTTAGTGTTCAAAAATGATGTCCATATAAAATTTGTAACCTCCTCAAATTGAGGGGGGTTAAAACTTTATATTGTCATAATTTTGAACGTTAAAATATTTTACTATAAAATTTTAAAATTAACAATGAAAATAAGTCTGATTAAGAATTATATTATATAATACAAATATTTTATCAACTGGTTGCTCTCACGTTTAGGGCTGGGGAGGGGCACAAATTTTGGGGCTTTTTTGTTCCTAGGCTCCAATCATCGCAAATTTTTGCAAAGCATCCTTATTTGACATAAACAAAAGTTTGGAGTTTGTACAATGTCTGGAAGTTAGCTATTTCTAACGCCAAAAAACGGCACCGTCGGCCCTGGGTATAGTCTAAAATTGGTTTCATTCAAAAGTTATAAAAAGTGTAAATGAAAAAATAGAAGGTTTTTACTTTTTCAAATTTTGTTAAACAAATTTACTGTTATCCTTTTTTTATTTACTACTTATTTACTATTATATTTATCACTATTTTTTTATATTATAACTATATATATATATATATATATATATATATATATATATATATATATATATATATATATTTATTTCTGAACTTTCTTACTACGTTTTTATTTTACCCAACGCAAGGGTTAATATAATGATTGATTTGTATATAGAAAAATATGTTTAGTATTTTATGGGTTAAAAATAAATTTTTGTTTTTATCTAGCAACCGATTCATCCTATATTTAATATATGCATTGACAGTGCAAACGAAGCTTTGTTGCATTTTAACAAACTTGCTGTTCCTTCATCTGATTGAAGAGTTTTTATAAGAACCTAATGGGTGTCAACTGTTCAGTGACGTCAAGTATGCGGTTGCTTTATGGTTTAACTGCGAATGATATTGAATTTACAAAAATGTTTAGAAATTTTTGAGTTTTAATTTATCACAAAAACTATTATTTTTTACATATTATATAAAAAATTTAATAAATGTTAAATTTTATATTTCTGAGGCGTCCACCTTCCCCATAATAAGAGGTCTGTAAGTTTTACATTGTTATAACTCGAACACTAAAGGATTATTAGACTTGTCAACAACTTGTCAAACCTCCAGAGATCGCCCTATAAAATTATGTCGACCTTTGATTATTGCCAACCCTTCCTTCCAAATAAAAGTAAAACAAAAAAAAACAACCCTTTTTCATATTCTTTTCCCCTCCTCGCATTTTGCTTTACGCTTTGAGTACTTTATGGACAATCCTTAAGTTGCCGATCTTTATTTGATACACTATCAATATATTCGCGTACTCGGTGTAGTTAAGGCGATTTACAAATTATTCGAATTCTTTTAATTGAAATTAGCATGATTTTATCAGCGTATTATGTCCAAACTAGAGCTTTAGATGTTATAATTTTTTTTTTGCTTCAGGTTTTTTAATTTTAAAGAAACTTTTCTTTAATAAATATATAATTTTCAAAATTTTTTTACTATCCCTAATAGTGAACCTAAAGAACTATTTTGATGTCTTTAGATCAATTTCGCTCATCGGCGTTTACATGAACTTAGTTAAAATCTTTTGAAAAGGTGTCTTAATCCAATATAGATCCTATTTCTAATCGGTTCTGACTTACATTAACTATATATAGTTGTCAAAATACGATATTTCTATCAATTTAAAAAAAAAATACTTGAATTCCGACTAAGAAATAAGTTATAATTTTTGAAAATTAACAATAAACGATCAGAACAGATCATATTATCAAACAATGATGTTCATTTCACCTAAAAAAACGTATTTATTTAAAATCTTATTCAAATTTGGACGAGTGATTGTAATTTTAAGAAAATTTTTTTATTTTTTTATAATCTTCGATTTTGGTTTTTTTCGCTTCAAACATTTATATTTTATGGTACTGCAAGATTTATAATTTTAATTTTTTTAGTCTTGTCATAATTCACAGACCTGATCATTTGACAGAAATGTGTCGTTTTCAACAAAAATATCAAACAGACGCTATAATATTTTAAAATTGCCTTAACTAAACCGAATAGTGTGGTGTATGTAAAAATGCTCTACTTTTGGGGCGATAGTGTTGGGGGTTCAGATCATCCTCTGGGTGATTTTTTTTGCAAATTTTAATGTATTATTTCTAGGAGGTCATTATTTGTACAAGCGTACAACTAATGACCTCCTAGAAATAATTGATCTCATTGTCGCACACAACTAATGTTTACATAATAAAAACTTTATTTCTACTGTTGCCTTATTTTTCTTTTCCCTGTATTATTATTGTAGCGTAGTACTGTGGGTTTATTAGGTGTCTAATTTTGAGCCGTAGCTAACAGCTATGTTAGCTACGGCTGTGGTTTCAACTCCACGTAAGGGAGCTCTTATTTTAAATTTAATGTTTTTTTTATTGATTATGACAAAATATATTGGCATTATATTGCAGTATATACCCAATATTGTAAATCAATATTTGTGAATAGCATTTGACATAAGAATTACAAAGTTCAATAATGGTAGATCCAAAATGGTGGTGTTTTAAAAAAATAATCATTCGAAATGCAATTAGGGACTTTCACAGCGTGCGGTTTTAATGTATGACTTTTTCATAGGGGATAAATGAACGAAATTGCGGCTTTGTTTAGTTAAATATAAGAGATTTTTCGTTGTTTTAGATTTTTTAAATGACTTTGATAGCCAAAATTTGGGTGTTTTTTTGTTGAAATAACTATTATTACAAAGATATTAACAATATAAAGTGGTTTTATACTTCATATTTATGCTACAATAACGTTGGTACAAAAAAAAAGGAAATGGGACTTAAAGTATTATTGAATAATACTTTGTTTTAGTTTAATCTTCTAAACTTCCATAAATTGGTCGAACGGATTGATTTTTATGAAGATTGGAGTTCAGATATAGGTAACATCTATAATCTATATCAGTAATACAGTATGTTTTTCATAAAAGTTTATGCAAAAAATGAAAAATTGAATCCAAACAGACTAATTTAATCTGTTACTAATTATTATTAGTTGATTCTTTAATCGATCACGAACCAAAATCTTCCGAAAGATATAAATAGAATTGATGTACAATAAAACTAGATCAAATTACACGGCCTGATTTGTTGCATTTTCCGTAAAAAATTAAGAGGCCAGTTTTTTTACGGCTCAAGTATAAAAACTTAATTTTTGTTATGGTTAAAAGTCTTGTTCGCACCATAATTGTTTTATTTTTATTTTATTAAAATGGTTTAATAATAGTTAGATTTTCTTTGAGTACTTACATTAATTTGTGCTAGATTTTCTGTTAACTGATTGCCTACTTCAGTTAATTCCAACAACACAGAATACTGAAATAGGCTTTCAGATAACTATATCAACTCATACCAACATGCTACTAAAAATAATCTCTCGTGTTGCTTAGATTGCCTAAAACTCTCCATTGAACAAAAAAAAGGTTTGTAGTTTTGTATTTTTTATAATTGAAATAAAAAGAAGAAATACATTTTTGCTAGAAACGTTTATTTTGTTTTTGACAAAGTCTTTGTCTTTTTTGGAATTCTTTTACTTGATCTTTTTTAAATGAATATGTAATTATTTTTTTTGCAAATTACTATAAAAAATATAATAATATTTTTTATAGTAATTTGCAATACAATACGAGATCTATATTTGATTCCTTATTTTTGGTGGTTTTTATTTGTAAAATTGAAACTGCTAGATCAAATCTTTAAAATTTGTTTCACAAATTTTTAATTAAAAAAGAATGACTGCAATGTTTTATTAGAATAAGAGAAATAACATAAAATACTAAAAAGATAACAAATAAAATTAGACAGAGGTTGAATTGAATATATAGGTTCTTCTCTTTATAAAGTAACGTTTATTGATCATAAGTTTAACATCAAAATCTTTTTGTTAATTTTTACCATTATTACTTGCTTTAGTATATATATTTGTGCTATCTTCAGAAAGCTGACAGTAGTATTTATGTAGACAACTAGGCAATATCTTGCATAATATTTTTTAAGGATTATCAAAATTCTGGTAAATATTTTCTGTGAAAATCTGCCAAAATCTTTTTACTTACGCACATTTCTAAAAGACTCACAAAAAGTCTACTATTGGTCATTTAACTATACTTACTAAAACCTAGCTCCAAAGGATCTTTTTGTAAATTAACTATAAACAAATGTAAAGCCTTCTTCAAGGAAATCATGCATAAGAAATACAATTGCTTGTAGTGTTGTAATTAGAGCACAAAAAGTTTGTTTGGTTAATGACAGGTTTTTATCAAATTTTATTTTGATCAAATTTGAGTACAATTTGAAATTTCTCTATAAAGTGTGGGTTTGTTATCACCTTTCAAAGCAGCATTGCTGAGTTTGATTGGATGAATTAAGTTTCTGCTTTGAATTAAGTATGATAAATAACTTATAAAACAATGATAATTGTGCTGCGTTATTTCTTTCAGAAAAATAACTCTAAATTAGCAGTTGTACCTGTAGTTGTTTTGTCAAATATTGTCGATGTTGACAACTTGTTTGTTGTTACCAAAATATGTGATTTGATAATTAATTTTTCTTGCTTTTTCTTGCTTGTTTAATAAGTGATCTTTTAATAAACATTAAGAAATATATTCCCTGCAATGTAATCAGCAGTAACTTCAACAAGAAGAAAAAAACAAAAACCGAGTTTATTAAATAACAAGTATATTTTAAACACTCCTTTTCTAAACTAAATGATAAATCGATAATTTTCCATCTCCAGTATATGCTTTATGAAACTATAAAAATGTATTAACATTTGTAGAATGGTTATCGGTAATAATAGTTCTTATCTTAAATTCAGATTGGTGCATTGAGGTAATACACTCATCAATTTCTTTTTTCAAACATAAACCTGTTATGTAAACTTTAGGTTATGATTTCAAAACATAAGAATAAATTTTTGAAGCTATACAATCATAAAAAAAAAAACAAATTCTTTATAAAGATTGTTTCTTCAATCTTCATCAAATTGTTTACCACTTTGGGCTGCTTTTTGGAAGTACACCTTACCCACAAGAAGCAAATAATTCTTAATACCAAATTTTGTCAATGATTTTTCTAATATATTATAGTTTTTCAATTTGTATTTTTCACCACTGCAAAACCATTTAAATAAAGAAATATGATAACCATTTATTTGACAATGAAAAAAATTAGAATTTTATTAACAGCTATTGACTCCAAAACAGTTGGCATGCCTGATATTTCTTGGCTACTGTAAATAAATAGCCTGATTTGTTACATTTTAATTGCTGTATGTTTGAGACATGCAGCATAATAAAGTATTTACAATGCAAAACCTTGTTTTGCAGTGTAAATATTTTAAAGAAAAGTGTATGTTTTGTACTTAATAATTGCAATTATAATAAATACAAAATTACAAACCTTTAAAATTATTTCCAATGGAGAGTTGTGGGTAGTTTTAGCAATATGTAAGATTATTTTTAGTAGCATGTTATTAACATGCTACTAAAAATAATCTTATTATTAACATTGTTAATATGTGTTGATATAGCTATCTGAAAGCCTATTTCAGTATACTTTGTTATTGGAATAAACTGAAGCAGGCCATCAGTTAACAGAAAATCTAGCACAAAATAATGTAAGTAATCAAAGAAAATCTAACTAATATTAAACCATTTTAATAAAATAAAATAAAAAAACAATTATAGTGCAAAACAAGGCTCTTAACCATAACAAAAATTATGTTTTTATACTTAAGCCGTAAAAAAAACTGGCCTCTTAATTTTTTACGGAAAATGCAACAAATCGGTAGGCTCTTGTCAAACCCTTATTCCGACGCTGTCCTTAAGGTCCGAAAATGTAAAAAAACGACTTCTTCATTTAAAAGAGAACCTACCCA